CTCGGGCGAGCCCAGAGCGCGGAAACCCACAAGTTTTGGCAAGATGGGGTCCGTGCCCGAGCGAGGACAGGCTTCAGGGATCAGGCCAATGACCCGAGGGCGCGCCGACTCGCGCCTCGAGGCACGGCAGTCACTCACACGGAGCAGCTGCAGACTGGAAGCGCAGCGAGGAGGGGAGCGGTGGAGCAGTTGCCCCCCCCCGAAAAAAAACCCATGCGGGAGGCGGGCAAGGCACCACGATATGCATCTCGGGGCTCAGCGACCGGGAGAAGAAGACGACGCTGCAGGAGCGCAGGCCCCCTCCCCCGGCGGCGGGGGCCGCTCGTGGCGCGGGTCGGGTCGGGCCGGCCGCCGCGGTCTTCGACGGCGTGGGAGTTGTCGTGCAGCCAACCATGATAGTGAGAATGGGCCTCCCTCCCAAGATCAAACGGCGCGAAGATCGGGACAACATCGGATCGGGATAACTCGAGATCTCTGAGAAGCGGCGGGTTTGGAGGATGTATGGGGCGCCGCGGCCGCTCCAGAGCGTTCCGGAACGCTCTGAGAGCGCTCCGGAACGCTCTGGAGCGATTTATCCTGATCCTAGCCTTGTTTTAGATGCAGGGAGATGAGGGCGGATGAGGAGGATCGAGAGTGGAGGAGGGAGGCGGTCCGAGGATGGAGGAGGAGGTTCGAGGGCGGAGGAGGGCAGATCCCCCCAAAAAGAGGAGGAGGAGGAGGAGGAGGAGGAGGAAGGGGGAGAAGGAGGATGAGGAGGAGGGAGGAGGAGGAGGAGGAGGAGGAGGGCTCTACTCAGCCGGCGATGACCTTCGCCAGGGCCGTTCGGCCCTGGGGGTGGAGGGCAGCATCCGAGGGATTCTCTTGCCTTCAGTGCACCAGTGCTTCAGGAGGAGGGAGATATCCTGGGCGCGTGTTTGTATCGTTTGTGATATTCTCCGATCGCGGCGTTGTCTAGGAGCCCTTTTACGCGCCCTGGGGAAAATAAAAAGCGGCTTGGGGTGAAAACTTGCTCTGAAGAACTGGTCGAGAGCTGCGGGGGGGCAAACTGACCAATAAGGACCAAAAGTGTGCTCCCTTTCTTCGGAAGGGGAGGAGGGAGCGCGCTTTTGGTCATCCTTGGTGCAAGAAGGGCAACCGAGGATGCGAGTCTGTTTCACCGGATTCTCGTGCAGAAGCACGCACCCCTGTGCGCGCAACCCTGGCCACCGGCCGGCGATGCGAGGGCCGATGGGGGAGTGGGGTGGGCAGGATGGCCGCGGGCGAGAGGTGGGGGGGGGGGGGGGGGGGGAGTGGGGTGGGCTGGATGGCCGCGGCGAGGAGGTGGGGGGGGGCGCCCTCCTCCTCCCCCCCCTCCCTCCCCCTCCCTCCCTCCCTCCCTCCCCCCCCCTCCCCCCCCCCCTCCCCCCCATCCCCCCCTCCCCCCCCTCCCCCCCCTCCCCATCCCTCCTCCTCCTCCTCCTCTCCCCTCGGTGGCCAGCTCCGCCCTCGGCAGGGCAGCCGCCCCCCCTTCGCCCCACCCCGCCTCGCGTCTCTCCCTCCCGCCCTCCCCCGAAGAGGGGCGCGGTGGACGAGCCGAGGGCGGCCAGGCGCTCGCGCGGCGGGCTTCGGGCCCGATGTGCCGTCCTACTCTCAGGAGGGAAAGAAGCACACAGACACAATGAATCGCCGATTCCCCCGGAAAACATGCAAAAATATGGGCGGTGGGGGGGAAGGCAGAGACCCGGAAGATATGGGAAAATGTGGGGAAATCGTTTTGTTTGTGTGTAGTTATTTGTGTGTCCCAGGGCCCCTTCACAGGCGCTCGCGCGGCGGGCTTCGGGCCCGATGTGCCGTCCTGCTCGCTCGAGCCGCAAGCGACGGGGGTCACTGCAGGCAGGGGGTCAGCCAGAGCGCCGGCCGGATATCGTGGCAGGATGCGGCAGGGCCAGGGGCGCAGTGGACCGGGCCAGGGCGCAGGGCCCTGCGAGATCCTGCGAAGCCCGACTGGCCCAGGTCTGCATCGACCAGGGTCCGTTAAAACGACGCGAAGATCGGGACAAAATCGGATCGGGATAACTCGACTTGACTCGACTGTTTTATCCGTGGGTTCCCGACTCGCCCTGCTCGTCGTCTCCCTCCTCGAGGTGCGAGGATCGAGGCTGCCGATGTCTTCGGGGCCCTGCCCGGCCTCCGGGAGGCCGTTCGCCGCCGCGGCCGGGCAACCCTCGGAGTTCTCAGGTCCCTGGGGGGCCCCCGAACCCCTCGGATCAAGCAGTGGCGAAGCGTCCAGGCGTGCCGATAGGCCTACTAAGCAATGCTCTGAGAACTGTTTGTGGTCTCCACGAGATGTGCTCGGAACCTTTCTGGCCGAGATTGTCTTGTTTTGGCACGTCGAGCTTATGTTATAAGAACACTGCTTTGTTCTTAGATCATTTTCGGGTTCCAAGAACATCTCGTGGTAGGCCTATAGGCATGCCGGGACGGTCGGTCCCTGCTCGATCAGATGTCTTGGACAACATCAAGGCGGTCTCGCGGTCTCGGCGGCCGCAGGCTCTCGTCGGGCTCCAGGGCCTCCAACAAGAAGCTGGTGAGGCGCCGAGAGTCAGCGGCCCGCGTTCAGTCGGCGAACCGCGGCGCGGTCCTCGTCATCATCCTCCTCCTCCCTCCTCCTGCCCCTCCCCGTCCCCCTCCACTTGCTCCTCCTCCTTCTGATCCTCCTCCCTGTTCTCCTCCTCCTCCTCCTCCCCCTCCTCGGAAGCCAGGATAACCCTTCAGGTTGCTGGGTGCGATATCGTTTCACCAGAAGGGGGGGGATCTTAATCGCGTTCCGCGTTTACGGATAGCAGGTCGACCTTGCAACATCGTGTTTTTTGGGGAGTACAGGTTGCTTCGAAAGGGGTGTGTGTGTGTATTCACTGGAGCATCGTTTGCAATTGCAGTCAAGACGACAGACTAAGGAACATTTCGGGCTCGGGAGGGGCACTGGTTTGGGGGCCGTTCCTTCGTTCTCGGTCGGAGAACATATTCTCGAGGCTCGCCATGGGCAGAAGCGCCCCTGCTTCCCTATTCAGCATTCTTTCTGATTTGTTTCTGATTGCACGATGACTGTGTAGTCCCCCCGCTGCACTGGGAAAAAAAAACCCTGCATCGAAGGCATGGCCCTGCCCCCCCTCTTCCCTCCCTCCTCCAGGAGGCGCTGGGGGACTACGGGCACATTGTGCGCATCGAGATCCCTCCTGGCCGACGTGTCGCTTTCGTCGAGTACGAGGAGAAGCGAGACGCCACGGAGGCCCCGCGAGGTGTGGAGGAGCAGCGTGAGTTGCCCAGGAGCGTGTGCGTGCATGTTTGTTTGAAAGTGCTTGATGAATGTGTTTGTGCGAGTGTGTGTGTGTGTGAATGTGTGAATGTGTGAGTGTGGGTGTCTGTGTGTGTGTTTGTGTGTGGGTGCGTGTGTGTGTGTGTGTGTGCGTGGGGGCGTGTGTGTGGTGTGTGTGTGTGTGTGGCTTGTGGTGTGTTGTGTGTACGTGTGTGAGAATGGTTGAGTGTGTCCGTGAGTTTGTACGTGTTTTTCCGTGGTGCACGCAAAAGCATGTAAGTGGAAAAGTCTGTTGAGAAGAAGGAGGGAGAATGAGGAAGAGGAGGATGGAGCAGGGAGACAGGAAGGGAGGAAGGGATGGAGGAGGGAGGGAGGAGGATGGAGGAGGAGGAGGAGGAGGAGGAGGAGGAGGAGGAGAAGCAGGAGGGAGGAGGAGGAGGAGGAGAAGAGGAGGAGGTAGTAGGAGGAGGAAAAGGAGGAGGAGGAGCAGGAGGAGGAGGAAGGAGGAGCAGGAGGAGGAGCAGGAGGAGGAGGAGAAGGACCAGTGCAAACCCAAGAGTCACCGACGATGATGGAATAAACCTTGCCTCCAAGCCCATTTCCACTGAGGGAATTGCCCCGTTGGAAGACCTTGAAGCATGCCGAAGCATTGTTATCGGGAGTCCAACGCCACGGATCAACTTGATGGTTGCGGCTTGACGATCCTAAACCGTGTCAGAACGCCGTGTTGGGGACGTCAACACCGCGAATCAACGTAAGTGTTGCTCCCTCACCGTGGATCACTCCAATACACCATTTCTGGTACGTTCGCCATGGGAGTCCGTGAAACTCCTGCAAAGGTTCAAAACGAATGTGCGCGGCGCTAAAGCGAGAACCATGGGTTGAACAGTGACCGCCCTCAATCCGTGAAACGTTGGCCCACTAGTACAACGAATGTGCGCGGGACTGAGGCGAGAGCCACATGTTGAAAGCGGGTCGCCCTCAACCCGGAACACTCTTGCAATTGAGTTGAACGACTATGCGAGACGTTAAGGCGAACGCCACATGTTGAAAACGGCCCGCCTTCCATGCGTGCAATTGTTGCCACGTGTTAAGTTGCAGGGCCTTCAATGGTGAGGAAGTCGCAGGCGAAACGTCTGGCCCGCCCTAAAAACAGGCCTCGGGGTGTGACAGGGAGAAGCTATTCATAAGGAAGAGGAATGATGGTGGAGGGCGGAGGAGGAGAAGGAGGCGGAGGAGGAGAAAGAGCATGAGGAGGAAGAGGGAGGAGGAGGAGGAGGAGAAAAAGGAGGAGAAGGAGGAGGAGGAGGAGGGAAGAGGAGAAGGGAGAAGGAGGAGGAGGAGGAGGAGAGGAGGAGGGAGGAGGAGAGGAAGCGGGGGGAGGGGAGTCGGAGGAGGAGGAAAAGGGGGGGGGAGGAAGGAGGAGGAGGAGGAGGAGGAGGAGGAGGAGGAGGAGGGAGGAGGAGGAGGAGGAGGAGGAGGTGAGGAGGGGAGAGGAGAAGGGAAAGGAGGGAGGAGGAGAAGGGAGAAGGAGTAGGAGGAGGAGGAGGAGGAGGGAGTAGGGGAGGAAGAGGGGGAGGGGGAGTCGGAGGAGGAGGAAAGGGGGGCGGAGAGGAGGAGGAGGAGGAGGAGGATGAGGAGGAGGAGGAGGGAAGGGAGGAGGAGGAGGAGGAGGAGGAGGAGGAGGAGGAGGAGGAGGAGGAGGAGGGGGAGGAAGGGGGGGCGAGGAGGAGGAGGAGGAGGAGGAGGGGGAGGAAGGGGGGGCGAGGAGGAGGAGGAGGAGGAGGAGGAGGAGGCAGGACTCGACCCAGGAGGGTCATGCATCCGAATTCCCACGGAGGCCCCACGAGCCCCGCGAGACCCCAAGGAACCCAGGGACCCCAGCCGAGGCCTCACCGTCCTGAGCGTAGGCCAAACCTGGGTTTAACCCCAGGTACGGCCCACGCCGACCTCGTCGGCGGCGGACTGGCACAGCGCCGCGTAGCGCTCCCGCCAGCCCACCACGAAGAGGTCCGCGAAGGCGTTGCCGTCGACAGAGCTCTCGGCGTCCGAGACTCCGTCGCTCTGGCCCTCGTCGAACACGAACATGTCCGCCCATGGGCCAGGAGGGCGGCGAACGCCACTGTGGTCAGCTGCAGCAGCCCCGCTGTCGGGGCGGCGGTCTCTATCCAGCGGCGCGTGCGGGACCTTCACGATCCCAGAGCCGTCCAGAGCCGCCTTGGCGGAGGCGAGCTTCTCCTCGAGCGCGATCACCTGATCCGCCTCGGCGCCGCCGTGCTGCGCGAGGGCATCCAGCGGCTCCCGCACCGCCATCTCGTCGGCCAGCGGCGCCTGCGGGGCCGTCTCGGCCCCCCAGTTCTGGCCGTCGATGGTGTCGAAGTGCACCTCCTCGATGCACACGTCGGCCTGGCCCTCCCCGTCGAAGGGCCCCTCGCTGAGAGCGGCCAGCAGCTCCTCTACGTCCCCACCCGTCGGCGGCGGGTACGCCGCAGCACCCGGCACGAAGATCGGCGCCTCGGCGCGGAAGGCGGAGGGGCAGAGCGGAGGAGCAGGCACGCTAGCAGCCACACGGCTCAGCCCAGCATCCGCCTCGCAGACCTCTACCACGACGTCGACGATGGTTTGCTTGGACCGCCGTTGGGCGCTGCGCTGCACGCCGTTGAGCTGCTTGAAAGACAGCCCCAGCAGCTGGGCCATGGGCAGCCCGAAGACGTGCATGGCCACGTTCCTGGTGATGACCTCCATCCTCGGGTGCTCGGGTGCGGCCCCGCGGCGCCTGGCAGTAACCTCCGCCTCGAGAAAAGGTACCAGGGCGTCCAGTCTGCGCTGGACCTCAGGGTCCTCCCTTCGCCGCAGCTGCTCCTCCAGTGCCAGGACACGCGCCTTGACAGCAGCCAGCTTCGCGCCAGCCGTTGCAGCAGCTGCGCGACGGCGCTCTCCACGTGGAAGCCTCTGGGGGCTCCCTGCCGCAGCCAGCCCAAGCGGCCCGCCAGCACCCGGCGCCATGAGCAAGCACACAGAGCCACGATGGTGGGGGCGCGCGATCGGCTTGAGCCCAAATGACTACGGAGAGGAGGAGGAGGAGGACGGAGGACGGAGGACGGAGGAGGAGGAGGAGGAGGAGGAGGAGGAGGAGGAGGAGGAGGAGGACGGGAGGAGAAGGAGGAGGAGGAGGAGGAAGAGGTGGCGGAAGAGGAGGGTGCCTCGGGAAGGAGCGAGTCGTGTCACCTCTTGAGGCGCGCCGTGGCTTTCGCCATGTTCTGTCTAACGAGTCAACCGCAGGGGCAGTTCGCCGGGTCGTAGTCTTTCGCGCGCCGTATTCAGTGGCTGGTTTCGTACGGATGTTTGGAAAGGTGGATGGGTTCGATACGTGGGTGTATGGGTCTCTTTCTTGTATTATCTACCTCATATTGTTGTTGTTCCCCCTCCATCCTCCTCGCCCGTCCTTCTCCTGCACTCGTCTTCTCTCCTCCCCCCCTTCCCATCCGCACACACTCGAGCTGCAGATCAAGTAATGGTCCAGTATCAGCTTCGCTTGTCGAGGCTGCGACCCCTCACGTCTTGCCCGAAGGGGCACGAGCATGCTCGTCAAAGCTTGCTCGACTAGGCGTCTCGCTCGCTTGCTCGACCTCCTCCTGGCGGTCCCTGCTGCGTTGGATATTCTCAGGCCATGACCGCAATGGACGGCAAGAAGATCGGCGAGAGTTCTGTGACCATTCGGTTGCACGCCTAGCATCAGAGTCGGGAAGGCGAGGTGAAGGTAGATGATGGACGATATGATGGAGGTGCTGATGGAGGTCGTGCGGCACGTTGCTCTGCGTGCCCATGATGCCGATTGATCGGCGCATTCTGGGGGTAGGGGGTATAATCAGATTCGCACACGCGCATTCTCCAAATCAGTGCGCGTGTGAACCACTCGTGCAATGCATGAGCGGTATCTGAAAACCGTCAGGCGACGAGGAGGGATTGGGAAAGGTAACGGAGAATAGGGGAGAGGAAGGGAAGCCAGGGGAACGGAGGTGGGGCATGGGGGGGTGAACAATATCAGGAGAGGAGGAACGTTGAAGGGGAGGCGCAGGATGTATGCAGAGGGAGGAGGACGAGGAGGGCGAGGGGGGAGAAGGCTGAAGAGGATGATGGGGGGGAGAGAGAAGGGAAGGCAGCTCACGGGCGGGGAGAAGGTAGGGTCGCGTACGCCAGGATGGTTGTTTTGACCAGCCGTAGCTTTCGCAACGTTGACGTCTCCATTCTGGCACGCGCGTGGGGTCGTGCACCCCACCGCGGGCCACCGCACATTGCTTCGTCACGGGCACGCATGTCCATCCCACCGCATACCGTCCAGGCATCCAAGTCTATGCTATGCATGTGCATCGGAGGTTTGGTTGGGTGGGTGGGGGGGGCGAACTGAAACGGAGCCCCCCCCCCGCGGGGAAAGCAGTTTCAGCTTCGGTTCGTGGTGGGCGAGCGGGCGAGGCAGAGCAGCGACTGTGCGGGAGCGATCGTTCCCCAGCCAGGGGCATGCGGGTCGGATGGTTGCCCGCTGTGCTTGCTACGTGTTCTTCGGGGTTGTCACGCGGGTGTCCTTCGGTTGTCCCGTGCACAGCGCGTGCCCCCTTGGGGTTTTTGAGCCATTAGGTCATCGAGAAAGTCCCGTGCGGGCGTTCCGTGTGGCTGTCTCGTGGACGTTTTGCGGTTATCCCGCACGTGTGGGCCCCGCGATTCGAGTGTGAAATGTTGATCTTGGAGGGGAAGCCACCCCGACCCCGACAATTGGCGTTTACTAAACAGCCCTCGGCGTTCACTAAGCTGCCCTGCCCTGGTCGATCCCTTCCATAGGGTGCGTTTACAAAGCGGATTCGTTTGTCGAGGCGTTTATCATGGAGGTGGATGTTTTGTTCTCTAATTTGGATGGGTGGTTACACAAGCACCGAAGACGCGTACGGCGAACCTCCGCCGCCACTTGCCTTTTTGATGCGTTTCTGTGTCAAGCGTCGGGCCCAAGTTGTGGCCAAGCTATCGGACTGTGTGCTCCCCGAGCCGATATGGAAACCTCTGGGGGACACGTCGGTGAGGAAGAGAGAAGGAGGAGGAGGAGGAGAAGGAGGCGGAGGAGGAGGAGGAGGAGGAGGCCTTTTAGGGGAGTAGTTGGGATCTCGTGGTGCTTCCTGGGAATTACTGGGCGCCTCTTGGGGCATATGAGGGGTCTACTGGGGGCATCTCGGAGTCTCTTGGGGGTCTCTTGGGCAGTCTTGGTTCGGGCCCTCGTAGTCCGTCCGACGCCTTCGGAGGCCGTCTTGGGAGCCTCTCTGGGCAGGCTTGAACCTTTCTCGGGGCACTTCAGGGCTGTCTCGTAAGTCTCTTTATTGGGGCCATCTTGGGAGTCTCTTGTGCCGTCTTGGAGCCCTCCTGAGGCCTTCTTGGGTCAGCTTGGGGTTCTCTTGTTGCCGTCCCGGGCTGACTCGTGGAGCCTTCAGTGGGCCCCGTTGAGCCCTCAAAGACCGCAAGTTGAGCGATCTTCGACCGAAGTGCACGGAAACCGCAAGCATGGGAGTTTCTTGGAGGCATCTTCGGCAACTAGGGAGCCGTCTAGGGTGCTTCAGGGTGGCTCTCCGAGGCATGTTGAGGGTCTGTGGGGCAACATGTGGGTAAAAGGCTTCCAAGACCGCTTGGGGGCCTATTGGAGTGATCTTGGGGGCATCTCCGACCGTGCTGGGGCGAGGGACGCCCGAAAAGGCGAGGACGAAAAGATGTCAAGAATCTGATCCTGTTGGTCATCTTGAGGCGTTTCGGGGGCCTCGTCAGCCTGCCTCGGGGCGCTTCCCGTCCTGGCCGGAGCCTCCAAGACCGTCCTGGGGCTCTCGTGAGACTCTCTCGGCCCGTGGTCTCCACGGTGGTCTCCTCTGTCTTCGGCCGCCACGTGACGGCCAGAGGAGCAGAGGAGGCACGAGCCCTAGAGCCCTCGACCCCACCCCGGGACCAGTTCTTCACCCAATGCTGGTTTTTGATGGCCTTGGTGTTTGGAATCAGCTTCCAAAGCGGTGATCGAAATCGCACGCTGTGTTTTTGTTGTCGCCCCCGCCTTCAGTGCCTGTTGTTTCGTCCTGTGCCGTGCTTTCCTTGTCTCCAGAGGCCAATGATCAATGGGGTGACAACCACCCCGACCCCCATCATGGGCGTTTGCTCGACAGGCGGGGGCATTTACTAGGAAGTCTTGCCCTCATCGATTCTCCCTCGGTTACGTTGCGAGCTTCGCCTGCGGGGTGTTCCTCGTGAGGGTGGCCGTCCGGCCCTCTGCAGAGCAAAACGCGCCCAAGACCCTCGAGCCTCGTCGCCCCGCCGCTGCCCTCGCCCTCGCCGCCGTCGAACGCCGCCGCTGCCGCCTCCCCCCGGACTAATAGTCCCTCCCCCCGACTATAGGTACCCCCCCCCCGGACTACAGGTACCCCTAAAATTATTGAGGGACACAGAGTAAATGTGGAGGGGGGGGAGGAAGAGGAGGAGGAGGAGGAGGAGGAGGAGGAGGAGGAGGAGGAGGAGGCGGCGCCGCTGAACGTCGCCATCGTCGACGACGAGCCTCCGCCGCCCTGCCGAGGTTCGCGGACGACAGGCCCCCGCCCGGCGCGCAGCCGCGGCAGCCGCCGAGGCGTGCCGGCGAGGTGCTGCTGGACCAGCGGGGGGTGCGCCGCGAGGAGCAGGTGTCGCCGC